TTTTTCATTCTGCAGCAACTTTGCAATAACAACTTCAGTGTGCATCACTACTGTCACAACACACGCGTTCGGAAATTTCAAGCCACCTCGATGGAGACTTGCTAATAAACAATTAGCATCACCATTGCACTCAGCATCGCAACTGTCAGCAACAAGGTTCTCTTGACAGTAGTTGCACTTCAACGTTTTTACCACAGAGTTAGTGAGGCTTCCTTACAACCAAGTACCGACGGAGGAAGCAAGCGTACTCTGAAAGCTCCCTTAACCCGTCCTCGAGGGAGGAATGGTTGCCGCGCTCCTGCGTTCGAGATTATCGAATATAAGCTTTGCTCACAAGCGTTTATTCTCTAAAAAAAAAGTTGGGTCACCACATCACTTCCAAATTGAAGTGTTAATATAGAGACGCGTGTACGCTTTCTTCCAACTACGATTACTGAATGTGAAAAGCCACCGTAGTCGAGCGCGAAACGTGGTGCATTCTAGCAACACTGCGCGCCGTCGTGCCTGGCACCGTGCACGCACGCTCGCCACTTGTTTCTCCCCGCAGAGGTGGGGTGGGAGGGTTGCCTCGAAAACGAAAACATCACGTGGGCTAGCTGTGAGGCGAAGCGCTCGTTCAGGGCAAGGAGCGGACCTAACAGCGCACGAAGGTAGCCCCAAAGCAAGCGCCAAGGAAGCCTTCACCGAGGGCTCCTCAGTGAGGAAGCTTTCAGGGTGACATAAGGCGGCCTCACAAAAATGAAGGCTTCCTCACTGAGTAAAGGAACGTTTCGTTGTTTGGCCAACTCTGAAGTCCTGTTGATTTGTGGCTGTTGTCGATGGAAGAGCCTCATCAATGAAATAGTCACTGCTCATTATAGGAAAAGTATTTTGTAGGCGAATCCTGCCTTCACTCTCGTACAGCTGCCTTAGGGTACAGCTGCCTTAGCTTAGGGTCACCATTCAGGCACGAAACTGGCTTTCATAAACATCTCTGTGGTGATGGCCTTTGCGAGGTGTTTTAACGTTTACAATCTTCCACCAGCTGAGAACTATCCTGATAAAATTGGCAGTTTTTTGGCATGCCATAAAGCATAAAAGCTCGAGGGGTGATCCAGTGTCTCAGCTACAAAAGCATCGAATATTTGTAGTACTAGCTTAACATTCTGCCTTTCGAAGTTGCTAGGATTTCGCACCTTTGACGAAAGGCGATAGCTGTATTTCAAAAGCTGAGAAGCCTCTAGCTTGTGCAGCTCCCGAAGACCTTTGAATGATGCCCGCTGTATGCAGTCGGGATGGACAGTGTTGTTTGAGAGATCAAACATTGGAAAATATGGGTTTGTCCCAAGATTCTTTTGATTTATCCAGTTGTTTCGGATGCATTTCAACAAGTGCACCGAATCCACAACATAAAACATAAGTCTTGTTGCGTCTTTTGGATTTAGGTAAACGATGCTGAGCTTCATAGCGATGCTCCTGTCATAGGATTCGTGTAGGACTTGTTCTGAAGGCATGACTCGGTGAAATGCAATGCGCATAACTGCATACCAACAGCAGTCGCAGAGTGTCAGCGAACCTCGGAATGCGTCTAAACACTGCACAAGCGCTTCGCGAACTGTTACAATGAGTATAATTTCACCATCAGTGTGATGCAATGGTGACATCCAGTTTGCTCTTACCTTGTTGTTTTCCGTAGGGAAGAAATCCTTTCTTGGAATAGCACTGAGCCACTTTTTCCTTAGCACTTCATCCTTGGGGAATGAAAATACTTGAACTTTGTTCCCGGTCTTGTAATTACTTGAACATGCCGGCACACAGCACTTGTTGGGCATGTCAGAAGCTTCGTGCAATAAAATTCCGGCAGTAAAATTCACTGCACACAACGCAAAGAAAATGGCTCGGCAGACTCGCGAAAAAAACACGTGCAGCAGGGCTGTCACCACTGCAGCGAGTGGAAATTCGGGAATGCGCGACGGAACCGGTCAGGAAGTATTGGACTGGTAGGACGGCTGGTGGTGACGTCACGGCGGAGGGCACAGGCCTGAAGAATTTTTAGGAGGTGTTGCCGCGGATGATCCGAAAATTGGAGTCGTTTGTGACACTCATAATGGAGTCATATTCAAAACTTGTTGTCACCAACTTCTCAGTTTTTGTTGTAACCCAGGAAGTGAGAGGGGTTGTGGGGGAATAATGTTCCCATCCTCGTGAAGTCACCTCGCAGGATGATTCACGTCGAAGCAGGAAATACAAAAAAAATCGGCCTCGTATCTGCATGTTTCACTGCAGATGTCGTCGAAAGACTATAGTCTTGCCTGTGGAGAGAGTGAACAAAACGCTTATGTTCTGCGCGAGAAAATCAGTGAATTGTATTCTGGAAGCGCTGCATTAGAGGGTATAGATTCGTGCAGTGAAGGCGAACGAGCGCATCGAGGCACGTCATACACGAGCGCCATCTGGCAGTTACCTTCGAAAACGAAGGAAGGCGTGCGCACCCGCGGAGAAAGATGCGCGCTTGTCTCGGAAGCGATAAGGCGTAGAACGCAATGCAACGGGCAGGTGCCACCACCGTGTCGTCTTAGCAAAGCGTTGGAAACACTTGCCTTTTTGAGCACCGCGTTGCACTGTCAGCGGAGCGTGATAAACACTACGGTCCTTAGAATTACTTGTGTGTGCCCTCTCTAGTACAAATACACGTATACAAAATATTTACGTGTGGCTATGGTGCCTCAAATATGCACAATAATTGCTTTTTGATTGGCAAGCGACAAGTATTAACGCTTAAACTATAGAAATGTGGGTGGGCTCTGCAAATGTGGCTGGCCGTTTGAGGTATCATTTAGTGCTGTTAGGAGGATCATTACCGCAGACAAACAGACAAATGTACAGACAGATACAGACAGACAGACAGACCAAAATTGTGGCGTCGAAGGTCCCCAAGAAAAGACTATCGTCTTCAAAATGACACGACATTTTACCCAGAACTAGTAGCCTAAACAGAACCGGACGTCAATCTTCAGCAACACAAAGACCCTTGAACTTTCTGCTTGCGATAACATCTGCTCGTTTCGACACCTGTCTGCGCCATCACCACAGCTTCCCTCGCGCAGAAGCATTGATCGTGCACTCAGCAGCGCTTCTCAACATTAAAAAAAATGTTACTGTCATCCTATGGCACAACTTTTGATAAGTTGTATGTTGAGCCTGTGTCCTCAAAGACGTATGCTTGCAAGAGCTTATGATTGATTGATTTTGTGGAGTTTAACGTCCCAAAACCACCATATGATTATGAGAGACGCCGTAGTGGAGGGCTCCGGAAATTTTGACCACCTGCGGTTCTTTAACGTGCACCCAAATCTGAGCACACGGGCCTAGACATTTCCGCCTCCATCGGAAATGCAGCCGCCGCAAGAGCTTATGATTGGCTCGTCTATCTCAAAATTATACGTGTCGAGAGTTATTTGCCAGCTGAAAGCTTAGTGTGCTTCTAATCGGACAGAAAATGAAGCTGTTTTATAATGCGTTCTCTATTGGAGGTGGAAGGTGTTCATAATGAATAATAGTAGCATTTACCTCAGTCAACTACGAGAATTAACTACTTGCGGATTATGACACGCATTGCGAGTGGGATGCACATATTCAATTTCGTGAGACGTTCTTGTGTAAAAACAGGATGACGATAATTAATATAAATAATAATACTAACAATACAAATACTAATATTACTACTAATAATAATATTACTAATACTACTAATATTAACAATAATAATAATACTAACAGCAGCAACAATACTAACAACAACAACAACGACGACAATAATAATAATAAAGGTTTAACGTCCCTAAACCACAATATGATTATGAGAGACGCCATAATGAAGGGTTCTGGAAATTTCGACCTCGTAGGTATATTTAGTGTCACCTGAATCTAAGCACACGGGCCTAGAGCATTTTCGCTTCCATCAAAAATGCCACCGCCGCGGCCGAGATTCGATCCCACGACCTGCGGGTCAGCAGCCGAGTGCCTTAGCAAATCGACCACCGTGGAAGCGGGTTGTGTAAAAATTCGATATTTCAAAAGTTTTCACAACACGGTACTATTAGGCCATGCGGCTGGGTGACCTTGAAGCACTAAGTAGTCGTAGGGGTAAATCGGAACTATAACGCCAATTCATAAATGCTATTTGAACCCTCGTAGCATCGTAAACATTTTTTTTCGCCCAAGAGACTAAAATGTGGCACGTTCGCACGTCTTCGCAGATGAACCATTGTTCTTCAGCACCATGGTTACTTGTGTAGGTATTGTCCTATTTCGTTGTATAACATCTTGGTTCTTTTACTGCAATATGGATTATACGGACACTCGATGGGCATTTTTGACGTCACCGTAGAACTCATACTGTGTACAAAGTCTAAATTGGCAGCCGTGCCCCCGCTCTCCCACACCCCACCTCACGCCACGCATCCTTTCTTTGAACCAGCTTGCGAAGGCTACAGGCGTACGGGTGCGGCTCAAGCAGATGTGGAATACGCCGGCAGGTTCCTTTCGACGAGTGAGCGTGAAAGGGTGCTGACTAGGGGGGAGGGGGGGGGGCTGCGTCTTTCGGGAAACAGCTGTGAACTTAGCCCGCGCCCTGCGATCCCTGTCCTGCCTCTTCGACGCATAGTAAGCGGTGAGAGCACAGCACGTACAAGGGTAGGAGCCGTGTGCTGTTATCTGCAAGATAGCGCGCGCCCTGCGATCAATCTCGCCGATAACAGCACGTGGCTCCTATACCCTTGTACGTGTTGTGCTCTCACCGCTTACAATGCGTTGAAGTGGCAGACAACCTGAAAACCACTTCGCTCCATGGAGCAGCCGCATGGCGTTACGCCACAATTTTGTCGAGTCGCGTGAGATAGCATGCTAAAACTGTTAGCTTTCCTCCATAGCCTTACTTCGTGTAAAATTACTCGTCTGTTTCTGTCGTATTCATTGCTTCGCCCTTGCGGCTGAAAGTGCCGCTTTATTTTTCCTAATAGACATCCATTCTGCGGAGCCTGTACGGCCAAGAAAACTACTCGAAGAATTCGTGGTCGAGGTTACTGTCATATCTGACCAACTGCACCAAGTGCACTATCAGAATGACGACGACTTGATCACCTATCTGGCAGTGATGATGAATGCCGTGAGTATGTTTCGTCGTAGAGCAAGAAATGGTGATGCAGAAATGAATGCAAGCAGTGAAAAGAAATACCGAGTAATCTTTGTATAAGTCACCTAAAGCACCTACCCTGCACGAACGAAGCAAAATGTGGACATTTTTTTTTTTAAACTGGCATCGCACATTAACTGGGCGACTGCGCTCTCACGCTCCTCTATTTGATACAGAGCCCTTCAGCATGTTGTTCAAGAACAGCATAATACCAATTGAAGATGCGAAGCCTTTGAGCAACACGGATAATAGTTCAAATGTTTCGCTCCGAAACTACGTTATGATGGTGAGGGGCGCCGTAGAAGGGAGGGGGGGGGGGGAAGGGGGCTTCTGAAATTTTGACGACCTGGTGTTTTTTAAAGGGCACCTAAATCCAAATACAAGATCCTGTATAGCACATCGTCTACACCAATTCCCGGTGGAGACCCGATGGCCCAAATTCATTGGGTCACCGTAGCCACTAGACCATCACCGCAGGCACGTGCGACGCAGGAAAACCAGACCTAGAAATCATACCATGCCCTGTAGCTAGAAAGTGGGACGCTCTAATATTCCTGAAAATACACAAGTCCACGCTTTTGTACAAAGGGCGCATAATAGCTAATGTACCAAAAATCTGTCCTTGGAGAGAAGTGAATCATGTGCTTAGACATATGACTTCGACTTGGCACAAACGTCAGGTGTTTTTGCGTTTTTTTTTTCGTTTTCTTTTACAGAAACGAAAGTTCTCGGCCCCGTTTCTTATATTCCTTCTAATGTTAAGCTGCCTGTTCTGCTTGAGTGACAATAGAATTTTTCTTTTTTCATCGTATTGTTTCTGGTTTGACTCAAAATTCACGAGTCAGTTTTTGCACTGAATTCAATGCGTCTCCGAGCCGCAGTGTCATTTTGTACTTTGGTCATGCTGGTGAGCACGTGAGAGGCCAAACTGATCTTTTTGAGCCCCCACGATACGATACCGCTGTGTGCAAACCAAAAGATGTTCTAATGTGACATTCGAGTGATCGCTCTGAAAAAAAGTACCCAGCCCAAGCCCAACATGCTGACCACATGTTCTGAAAACCTTTGATTAATGTACAAATATAGCATATTCCAATAGAAGTTAGAACTTGAAGCCAGTATTACGTTTTTGAACGCCGTATGGATTGATCGATATGTGGGATTTAACGTCCCAAAACCACCATATGATTATGAGAGACGCTTTAGTAGAAGACTTCGGAAATTTCAACCACATGGGGTTTTTTAACGTGCACTCATATCTGAGCACACGAGCCTACAGCATGTTCGCCTCCATAGAAAAAAAAATGCAGCAGCCGCCACCGAGATTCGATCCCGTGACATGCGGGTCAGCAGCCGAGTGTCTTAGCCGCTAGACCACCGTGGCGGGGCTTGAACACCACATGGCTTTGCATATGTATCATAATTTAGTATGAGAGATATGCACCTACAGACTACAATTATATACAAGCGCACAGACGCAGTAGCCGGCGCCACCGAGAGGATCATATCTTGCAGCACATGCCTTTATAACCCACCTCTTACGGCCCATAAGGCAGTTAACAGCAATGGTCACCTCAAAATATTCATTCATAAAGGCTTGTTTCTAACTCTGTGCTCACTTTGTTAAATTGAGCAGAAATAATGCTCGTTCGAGTATAAGTTGCATCACTTGGCTTGTTTACTGCGTTCACTTGTACTGCGTTGTAGTGCACCTTCTCGAATTCACAAAGGCTTCCGCTACCTTACATTCGACAAAAAATTACCCTAAATGCACACCGAAGTGCATGCATGGCATTGTAAACTTGACTTACGGTCCCACAAAGGGCACTGGCATGACCGCGATTGTGCGAACTGTCTCTTGTGTTTCACACTACTTTAACATTGCGATGTGTAGCAACTAGCCCAAACGTCTGCTCTTCTAAGACAAGGCTAGGCTGATGCAGTGGCCTACAAGATGAAGGCTCCAAAACTACTAACAAATGTGTCATCGATTTCACTCAGGCCAAATCATAAGCAATGTTGCCTAAAAGCCCTCATTATTGTAACGACGCACCTTAATTGAATCATCTTCCAGTTAGCAATGTATACCCATGGACTATAGTGGGTACCAATGTACCCACTATAGTGGGTATACATGCCTCTCCATCCCACAAGCGTAAGAGCAAAACTATTCGCGTAGGAGCAAAGTACAATTTCACAATCCGGAAAACGCTACTCTTACCGCGATAAGAGGCTTAGTAAGCAAGAAAACGTGAGACAAAGGAAATGCGAGTGGCGACGCCACCTTGAGATTCCCGCACCAAACGCCGTGACGTAAGAAATTTCGAAGGCGTGTACTGGGTCCTACGTAGCTTCAAATCAATAAAAATGAAGTACATTGAAGTTATTGTAATTTGCAGGTGCCATATAGACTTAGCTTATGAAGATAAGGAAATTCCATCAAGCTAATGTCACGACAGTATCAAAAGTACATCTTGAAATTCATGACGTCACTCGCGCAAATTTTGGCGCTAAATTTGAAAACAAACCTTAAATCTTGATTTTCTCTGCTAATAATGAACTTATGACAGTAAAACAGATGGCTTTAGAGTCATCATAGCGCAGTTAGTCTTTCTAAACCACGTTGGTGTTCCTCTTTAGCGTCCCTTTAACAGAGTTCCTCTGCAACACTGTTTCAGGTTAATCTTCGGTACCATGGCATGCAGAGCCCTCGCATTCGATTTAAGCTTGTTGGAGTCACCAGGAGTCTGGTGAGTGTGTTGAATGATGAAGCGATTTATCAGTTTTGTAAAAATGGCGAAGCGTTTGCCAGTGTCGTGTTAAGCAGGCGAAAGCTAGCAGTTCGACCTATTGATTGATTGATATGTGGGGTTTAACGTCCCAAAACCACCATATGATTGTGAGAGACGCCGTAGTGGAGGGCTCCGGAAATTTCGACCACTTGGGGTTCTTTAACGTGCACCCAAATCTGAGTACATGGGCCTACAACATTTCCGCCTCCATCGGAAATGCAGCCGCCACAGCCGGGATTTGAACCCGCGACGTGCGGGTCAGCAGCCGAGTACCTTAGCCACTAGACCACCGCGGCGGGGCAGCAGTTCGACCTAAACACATTTACCTTATAGACTCGAAGGTCTGAAATTAGTGAGAATTGACGGACGGGCTAGTTCGTTAGGGATAACATAAAAGTAGCTCTAGAATACGAGACAACATAAGACGTTTTTAGCATGAAAATACAGTTACGATACTGATTGTTGACCTAGTTGGTACTGACATGCTTTGGCCGCAAATAACACACACAAAGTAAAGAAACACTCAACGACAAGCGCAAGTGGCACATCCAACTAAAATTGACCGGGCGCAAATCCAGACTTAAGTAACAACATGCAGACATGCGCAGTTTTCACACAGCCTTACGCTATCCAGCTATCGAACAATCTCTTCTCCGATAAGTACAACGTCACCGACGGTTCGCTAATACAGCTTTCACCTTTCTTCTTAATGTAATATGCTTCCATCAACTCACGCGCCCAGATTCTAGGTAGAAGGCATAAAACTGCGCGTGAGTTGTGCTTGTGCTTGTCGATGAGTGTTTCCTTACTTTGTGTGTGTGTGTTATTTGCAGCCAAAACATGTCAGTAAGAAAATACAGTTAACCAGTAAATAAGAAATGGTATGTGCGATCTTTTCTATATATTCAATGCCTGTATGCTATAATATGGTGCGGTTTGTTATTTGTGAAAATTTTGAATGTGTTGAAAAAATACAGAAGTCACTGTCTAGTAGTGAAAAAATATATTCATAGTCACTCATGCGAGCAGAATTCCGGCGATCTTGGTACTGTATTACTTGAGTGTGATGGCACAACAAGAACAAAAAAGACACACAGATGCAAGACATACCCAGTGGATGTGCCTGGATTTTTTTTTTCTGTAGCGCAATCATACTAATCGTGCTCAAATAATGGTAGCTAATCTTCAGCTGTGAAAACATATCTTTTAGCAAAAAGAAGTACATATTGTGGAGTTTTACCAGCTGCGAATCATGATACAATTATGAGGCACGCCATAATTGGCGAGTTTGGAGTGATTATTTAGAACTTTTCAGACTTTCAGTCCCAAAACCAAAACATGATTATGAGAGACGCCGTAATGGAGGGCTCCGGAAATTTCAGCCAGCTAACATGCTCCTAAATCTAAGAACACAGGCATCTATCATTTGATCTCTACCGAAATGTGGCCCCCACAGCCGGAAATCGTCAAACCTTCGAGGCGGGCGAGTACACTTTGTGCTACTGCTGTTTCTTCTCGTCCTTTTGAATATAAGTATTCTGTGATTTTCGTGATTTGCTCAACTGAAAGTCAACGCACAAAGCATACGAAATAGCTGCTGGCGACGCAGGTTTGATTGCTTTATCTGCAGCATCCCCTGAACCCATGCGTTAACACAGGCAAGCGATACGAATAAGAAAGCACAGTCATGGATTACCTCAGCTTGCCGCAATAATGGCAAGTGGTTTCAACCGTTTCGGTGTGTTTTTTGTTCATTGCTCCTTTTGGGTAACCTCGGTTATGTTTCTATGTCGTTGCAAAACTTATCGATATGTAGTATGCGAGGTAAACTGGACCTCAAGCTTTCCACAGCAAAACAGTTATTACAGAACAGAACAGTTTTATGAAGAGGATTCGTTGATGATCCGTCTTTTGTTATGCAGGTGGATGTTTTCGCTATTTACATGAATGGTGGTTACCTGGAGGCATATGGTACTATTGAAGGGCTTGTGAACTACGTAAGCAACGGAAACATTCCAGAACAGACTGACGTCGTTTACCTTATTACACAGTAAGTAAAATGCGGAAAATGGCCTATCAGTATTACCCAGAAACACGTCATTAATTCATTAAGACAAAAATTACACCTTGTGCTTTAGGTCATATAGTACAACAATCTGGTAGATAGTTCGATATGCTCCTACAGAAACGGCTACCTCGGGGTAGACATCTTCAGGCTTGACAAACCAACATATTCGAAAACCGTCGATTAGAGTCTGCATAGAAAAAGATCTGCTGGAAATTACGATAACAGTGGCTCACCTGCTAAGAAATTGCATGCTCAAAGTTATGATCATGATCATTCTGGGCCCGATTATGAACAATAAAACACAAATTCCTCCCCGATTATCTGCAGTTTGCCATCTTCTGTTCCAGCTAATTTGACGATTTCGAACTTCTTAATTTCGCCACTTCGTCGAACAGTCTGACTTCCCTCACAGATTCACACAATAGGATGTCGTGTTAGATTACACCTGTGCTATTGTCGAGAAAAAATAAAACGTTAGAGAAATAAAATTCGTAATCAGTGACAAAAGGGAGAGGGGTACGTTGCGACTCGACACGCAAGACGGTGTGTCTCCTATGTAAAGCGTCCTCGCGGTAGCCCAAACAAAGCTGTGATGTCACGCGGTGTGAATCTAAGTTCTGTTTAAGTGCTTTATTTAAAACTTGCTTATCTGTTGTAATTTGTTTCTTCACTTCGCAGCCGGAATATGGTAAACGGCAGGAACGGACTAGCCCCTGCAGAGCAGAGAATGACAGGTAAGCGAGACGTCCCACTTGTCACAGAACTCCTCCATGAGAAGTTCATACTCCCCTTGGTGCCTTATCTTTGGCCCAATATAGCCGACCTAGATACAAGTTTTTTTGTGATATTGATTTTTTTTCTTCGGCAGTACATGCACGCAACTATCCTGCCAAGAATGCGGTGTCGAACTGATAATCCCTGTAAAGCGTCGAGGAACGCTTGTCCTATCGCAAAGTGGGTACAGGGGGAGGTTTGCGTCTGTGTGCGTCACCTGTCGCGTTTCGCAATGCTCCCTACCTACTCTTTTCCTTCAGTGATGGCGGGAATCGACCTTCTTCAACCACGTTCTACGCCACGCAACACCGACTTCAGCTGCTACGTGGCAGGAACGTCGGTCATGCATTCATGTCCGGTATAATAAAACGGCCAACACTAAATGACGAAAAGTATTAGATAAAACATCACTGATCATGATGAGTACGTTCCAACTAGCCCAATTTGCTAATTTACGTCAGCGCATACAAATACACACGTAGCCTGCGCCTTTCGATGGCCGCATTTCTGTGCACGCTCGCTGATGCCAGTCTTTTTTTTTTTCATGAATATAACGCCACCACAATTTATGAATTATGAAATCTTCGCTTAATAACGCCAGAACTTTGAAGCTGCTAGCGGTGTGGTGTAGCGACTCGACTTCCCGAGACGTGGGAGTGAGGTGCGAGTATACTGGCAAGAACACGCAACAGGCAAATGAAGCAGCTGCTTATTCTTACGTTGAACGCATCGGAACGAAACTAGAGCAAAAAATGCGACCAAGTTGCTTCTCGCAATGTTTCTTTCAGGTCTATCGTATGTTGGAGGAGTGTGCACAAAAGAAAAAATCGGAATGGGCGAAGATATTGCCCAGTCCTACAAGGGCGTCTTTACGATGGCGCACGAGCTGGCTCACACGTGAGTGCTGAACGACACAACATGTACTCGGTATAGCTACTCCTTAACAAAGTGCGAAGAATATGTTATGTACATCCATGTAGAGCTTCATAAGGAGTGGGAAAATGAACAGCACTCGTTTGGCGCCAGAAGTTACATGGAAGTCCACACAAACTTCTCGTAAAATGAAACTGCTTAGATTCCGAAGAATTTGTCCTGGTTTGGTAATCGAACCCAGGGCTAACGCAGGGAAAACTTGTGTCCCGACAGTTAGGAAGCTTTCTTTATGAGAAATCTGCGTGGACTTCCTTGTAGCTTCACACGAACGAGTACTGCTCATTTTCTCTCTTAAATCTTGACCCCACTTTTCGGGACTCTGCTGGACTCATTGGCAATAATATGGCTGCATTTTTGTCGATCGGTCTTGTCTACAATGCTGCAGCTGCCTAAAGTAGTGCATGCAAGTATGTGTATGTGTCTTTCGATGTTTTTGTTTCCTTTCTCTGGTATTCTCTTCTACAGATGTGCCTCATCCTCTTACTCGATTTGGCCCGCTAGCTTCCCTCAATGCCCCCCCTTTCTTTTCCCCTTTTTTGCCTCCTCCGACCTTAATCACTCCAGTTTTCCCATTTGTCATCCCCTGTAATGATCTGTTTTCGTTAGAAGAGAGTAAATGAAGCATACACATGCACGGGCTAAGGTAAGCAGCATTCAAAAAGACACGACTAAACCATAACGCGAGTAAGAACACGTGTATCAAGGATTTTTCATTACTTAGCCTACATATTCTCAAGTGAAAGCTGTAGGATACAGTTTTCGTAATTACGTAACTGACAGTGAAGTATATACGCAGCTTGGGTGCACAGCATGACCAGGTGGGACACAGGGAGTGTCCATGGTCTGCCGGAAGCCTGATGAGTTACGTCGACGGCGGAGAGAACAGATATCGCCTAACTCCTTGCAGCAAGAGGCAGATAAGGAATGTCATCAGGTAAGCTACTGCTGAATCCCGTGGGAAGAGTAGCGTTGGCACTGTGTGTGTATATATATATATATATATATATATATATATATATATATATATATATATATATATATATATATATATATATATTGTACGAATTTGTTGCGTTAAAAAATATACAGCTCTTATAGTTTAGCAATGCGGAGTGCGCAATTTATTGATTATTGGTAGATAACGGCTGACGGCCAAGAGGTAAGGGTTTCAAAAAAAGGAAAGCGGAACAGAGACGTCCCCAAACATTCATTCTCTCCGCTTCTTTGCTTCAAACCTTCAGTCCACTATTTGCCATGGCAAACTATCAGAAAACATTAACAGGGAGGGTGGGCGCTGCAATGGATCCTCCTCCACCCCCTTAAGGAGAACACTGCATACACCCACGGGCCGATAGCACAAAGAGAGTCCCTGCAAGGACTGCGGGAACTGGCTGAAAGCAGGGAATTACAACCAGGGTTGACGCTTAATATTACGGTAATATTACTTCATCTCCTTGGTCAGTGTTCATTATTCCCTCTTTCATTTCTCTCTCTCTCTCTCTCTCTCTATTGGTGTTATCTGCCCATGGTGTACGCCCATGGTGGGCGGACTTTGCATCCCCCTTCTCACCCCCCTGCCCCCTATCGTGTGAGCGCCGGTGTTCTGCCCTTTTATCAAACTGGAAGCTCGCTTTAATTACGCGATAGAGTAAGTGAGCCTGAGCTATATTCTAAACAATTGCCACTGTGCAACAATAATTCTCATAAAGAACGAAGTGGTGGATCATTTCCAGTACATCACCGAAGAAACGTCGCTCAAGAACTCATACCATGTAACGTTGCGCTGTTACATGACGCAATACAAAAGCTCCACAATTACACTTGAGTCATAGGGATCACAGAAATTATTAAGGCTCAAACTGATTAAGCGTCTACGAAGCAAGATACAAACGCTAATTTGTTTCGAACGGGCAGAAGTGGGACGCTCGTATGGGCTAGTAGCGATTTTGTCAAGACGAAGCATGCTGTGTACGCGCGATGTCTGCAACACGTGATGAAACATGCATAAGAAAAGCGCACTACGCCATTTGCGGTCACTGCGAACAAGGCTCCCGTGTGGGGAGCCGAAACGTCTATTTACGTTTTGTGCATTTCACCTTGGTCGGCGTTTTTGTTATTTTGCGCGAAGCTTGCCGTCATGAGGACGGTGTCATTGCCGAAACTTTAGGCCCAGGGACTTCGCTTGTCACTGTGGTCAATCGAAAACACATACACTCGGGTGTACAGACACGTTTTCCCGGTGGCAAACCAGCGCACTACTTACGTCAGGAAACTGGAGAGATATTTATGTGCTAGTAAAATATTTGCGTAGATACCATAATATCATTTGTTTGTGGATAATATAGCGTTTCATTTTTTTTTTTTCTACAGCAAACTGCCGCAAAGGTGCCTAATGGAAACTTCGAGAAAAAACTACATGGTGCACCCAGGCACCCTGCCGGGGAATATGATATCCGCTGATCTATTCTGCAAGTTGTATTTGAGGAAAAAAACTAACTCGCCACAGCAGTACACAAAAATAGTAAGCTATACTTCATTTCGTTTTATCACGCAGCAATTATTATAAACTGTTTCCCCCCCTTAACATAGGCGCACTGTTACTCCACGACAAAATGGAAAGCCATCTCATTGCTTAAATGAACAGGCAGATATTGCAGCTACAGTTTGATATAAATCTATTTAGAGTCAACAGCTACATAACGTCAAAAAGGCAATATTGTGAACTGCCTCTTGCAGTAATTAAAAGTGGCATGACTGAGTGAACACTCAGGGACTGACTGAGTGATGGAGCGCTGGACGAGTCCGTTTGTGTTTATCTTGGTCAAACCGACGATGTCGGCCGTTGCAGCGATCCCGAAATGAACTCTTGGCACACTGCTAGTCATACCCATCCCCCGAGATCGCTAAATTGGTGATTTTTTATCTGCAGTAACGTATTATACCATAATAACTGTCTTCTGTATCGAGTGATCTGCTAGTCAAACTGACATTACGCCCTAGCAGCATAAAAACATTGCAGATCATTGTGGCGCGACAAAAAGTTTCCTTACCACTCATGGCTTTCATAGCTTGTCATTGTCGCAGTCACGGTCAGCAGTACAAACCAACTTCTAAAGCACTGGAATTGCACGGAGAGGCGCTTTTTTTTTTTCTTTTCAAAGGAGCGGTACAGAACTGCGCACGAGCCGCTGCTCACCCGCGGGGTGCGTCGAACCGGAAGCCGTCGTATCCCACAGTTCCCTGCGATTGCATGTTTTACCGGTCACCTATTAGTCAAAGAAGGGCCGCTCCCAACGGCACCGCACCCCAACGCGTTTTGAACTGCTCCCTATTCTGGTTCTTCCGATCCTGGAGGTCACACAAAACGATGCCGACTGCGGGTTTTTTTCTTTTTAGGGGAGGGGGGAGGGGGGAGCGATACTGTCGACTAAGCAGAAACAACATAGCTTTCGCTTTTCAGTTTTCTTAGGAATGCATAAGGGCCCATGTGCTTTTTTTTTTTTTCCTTCGTATATTTGGTCCCATACCCTCCACGACGATAGCTATAGCGCGAGAAAATGACGACAAAGAAACAAGAACGACACGAGTGCTAACTTCCAACTGAGTTTATTCCGCAGAGAGCGAAAAAATATAGAGGAGACAGTAAACCATGTGGCACAAAAAGCAATGCATGAGCAAGGGAGAAAATAAAAGCACAGAAAAACGCAAAGAAAAGTCTATAAGGAAACGAAACAGAAAAGTAAAGGTAATAGAACTAGCGCGCACCAAAACCTTCGAGGAACCTTAGTTCCTTCTCGGACAGAGACACGGAGGGCTTGCTAATACAAGGCCCCTGTTCGCGTGTCATCTGCGCTGCCTCGACGATGACTCGGGTGCGCTCATCCATGTGCTTGTAGAGCGTCGCTGTGTCCTTTAAAAGGGGCACACAGTTACACTCAGTGCAGTTCTGAGCAAGAAGACCATCTTTCCCGTTTTTAACATTGTTAGCGTGTTCTCTCAGCCGATCGTTCAGACACTTTCCGGTCGTTGCGACATAACAAGCACCGCATGAAAGGGGGGGTCCTATAGACAACTTCCCGGGAGCATGCCGCATACCTTTTTCTATGTGGAACTCTGCATTCCGTTGATGACTGCGTTTTCAGAGGGTTTGTAGATTTGGTGAGGCCGATTAATTTGAATGTTGCAGAGAACAAGACACGAACTCCAACTCGTTTTCCAATTTTCTTGAGCCTGTGTGATATCTGGTGTTTGTATGGAATCACGGCTATCCTTTCACGCTCTGTACCCGTGTTCCTCAGATCCTGTCGCTGCCTCTGCTTTGCCTTATTAGTCATTGTGTTCCGTTTTTTCAATTGACATACAGGACCTATACTACTCACTGCCTCATGATGAGGTATTAGAATGTATAAGGGATAACATAAACGTCTTCGTGCAATTGATCTCCCAATTGAAAACTGGCATCAGTGCGCGATATTTTCTTGACCTGGTTTTGCTGCCCGTTATCTCTACGTTTGTTCAATGGAATGATTGCTTCTATCTGCATAAAAAAAAGGTGTTTCAATAGTCTCATGCATGGTACCTCTACTCAGTGATCTACTCTTGGCAAAAATGGGCAGTAAACTGCTGAAAAAGTTAAAGGGCACGCATGTCGTCAAAGTATTTTGATACGTGGACGATTTCTTGGTTCTAAATTGTAACCTTTCTTTGTTCCACTCGATTCGGGCTCAAACGATAGGCGTTTTTGAAGATTGTTTGAAGCCTCTTGTGTTGACACATGAGATGCCCGAGAATTACAAGTTACGATATTTGGTTATAAGATTGTTTTTTAGCACACAGTATATTTGATAATGTTATGAGCCACGTGCGCAAAAACCTTTACTTCCTTTTTCTTCCGCTCACAGCAAATTCGTCAAGCGAGGCATAGCACGAACCTGTCTTGAGAATGCCTTGAATAGGTCGTGCGTTCACAACATCTCTGCGAGCTTCAAAGCTCAAGTGTCCCGGCTTATGGCTTCGGGTTTTCCTGGGGCGTTTATCGCTTCTGTTGCTGAGACTATACACTGCGGACCAATAGGGCAGATAACAGGCAGGGACAGTATCCGAGCAACACTGATAGAGCGTGAAAGGATAGCCGCTGCTCTGTACAAACACCAGATATCACACAGGCTCAAGAAAATTGGAAAACGTGCGGGAGTTCGTGTGCTGTTCTCTGCACCGTTCAAATTAATGCAGTGTCACCAAATCTACAAACTCACTGAAAACGCAGCCATCAACTGAATGTAGAGTTAAGCATGGAAATAGGTATGTCGCATGCTCCCGGGAAGTTGTCTATGGGACCCCCCTTTTTCATACGGTGCTTATTAAGTCGGAACGACCGGAACGATCTAAAACATCGACAGAGAGAACACGCTAACGATGTTAGAAACGGGAAAAATTGTTTTCTTGCTCAGCACTGCACTGAGTGGAACCGTGTGCCCCTTTTCAAGGACACAGTGACGCTGTACAAGCACAAAGATGAGCGCACTCGAGTCATCATCGAGGCCGCGCAGATGGCACGTGAACAGCTGTCATGCATTAGCAAGCCCTCCGTGTTCCTGCCTGAGAAGGAACTAAGGTTCCTCGAAGGTTTCGGTGGGCACAAGTAGTTATATTACTTTTACTTTTTTGTTTCGTTTCTTTATAAACTTTTCTTTGCCTTTTTGTGCTTATGTTTTTTTTTTGCATTGCTCTTTGTGCCACATGGTTTTTGTCACATGTATTACTGCCTCCTTTACGTTTTCGCGCTCTGCGCAATAAGCCCACTTGGAAGGTAGCAATCGTGTCCTTGTCTCTTTGTCGTCGTTCTGTTCTCGCGCTATAACTATATCATGTCATACCAAATAGCCCGAACTGCCACACTTCTAAGTTACCCGGCACGTCATGCTAAACCTGTCAGCACTGAAACTACACGTCCTCAAAATTGATCACGATGCCAGCCAGGAACACTATAATCTTACCCCAATCGTTACTTGTTGCTTATATGTTATATCACTAGTCTGGGTACCATTCCACTGCTGTATTTTCATTTTTTTACTACTTCACAATCGATTGTAAGCTTTAGTTAGCGTTGCCCAAGCTACCTTCCACTACATCTAGTCCAAAGCAACTTCAACAGTGCGCAGTGCAATGTAGTGAGGCAAGCTTAAACATTTCAACGGATCTTCATATGTAGTCACCATGTTCACTTAGCATTACGATACCGCTTAGATTACATTACTTTGTTCGTTTTTCTTTAAGATTCTCATCAGTTTGTAATGTAGAGTAGCGAGATTAATGTGTTCCCGTTCGAATAGTGTTCGCAATGCTTCTGATAAAATGTGACGCATGCTATTGCTGGGTCACCTTCTCTCTCTATCCAGACTCCCGGATACAGCAAAAAGTGCAAGATGCAATGCTGCTACGTCACGGGTCGTCTAACGTGGTGCTACGAAGTGGATATACTGGACGGTATGTCGTGTGGTGAAGGAAAGGTAAGCAGCCTGTTTTTCAATCGCGCGATAAATATGGCCTTTGAAACGACAATACGTACAACGTTGGCAGGAGCGACGGCAAAAGCGTGGCAGGTGGACGTGGAGGTTTTATTGGAAATACAACTGCTTTTGCCCGCGCTCCGCATAATTTTGTGGCCGATTGTACCTTTTATGCATCAGTATCTCGAACGACGGGAACACGCTGTAAGATGCACCGTTGTAAATCTTAACATCACAATCATCCAAGCAATAGCAAAGCCCTTTGCGGAGTTTCTCTGTCACACAAGAATAGTAATCGATCCTGTGCGCCTTTTCTGACGTTGAAGCGACACAAGATTGGCGCTTCCTAAAATTAACAAGAGGGAACTCTTGCGCTATGATCATTCCGCGACCATGGAAATGATGGGTAGTACTTGCCTAGTCATCATACTTGCGGGCCTTTGCGACCCAATTTGAATTTTTGAGCCTGAAAGGTTAATGTGGTGAAGTGCAACTGCTCAACATTTGCCGATTGTTCTTTCGTGACAAAGCAACTCAAAGTCACGTGATGCCAAGCGGAGCCAGAAAGTATGAATATAGACTAATTCGTGCACTACCCATCATTCGCACGCTCACTGAAGCGCCGCGCAAAAGTCCCCTCTAGTGTCTTTTTACCGTAAGGTTAAGTAGTGCAGGTTTTTAGCATGAACAAGAAAGACGCGACACTCGCAACTGGATTCCAGAAAAAGGCTTCGTATTATGCACCCACGCTGACGCCCAGCGACACACGAGAAAAAACAAGCACTGAAAATTCATCCAATATTAACTGATGAGACACTATCCAATAATAACTGTTGATATAAATGCAAATAAGGTTAAGCAAACAGCTGTCACTTTACAAGAGAAAAATAATTTTGAACGCATCAGAAGTGGCATCAGAAGTGAAACGTGCCGGCAGCTTGCATCTTGAAATATTCTCCGCCAAGACAAAAGATTGGTGCTCCGTTCCAGGCCACAGTAAACGAAAAAAAACTCGTGGCAGTTGTGTTTCATCGCACTTTCAGAATCACCTTAAGACTTTAGAGGTGTCTCATCCATGTGTCCTTCTTATACCTATTGTACATGTTAAAACTGTTCTACTTAACCTTACGGTAAAATGGTCAATTACTATCCTATAGTTATCAACCTTATTGTTCCTCTAGTGTATTCGTAGGAAACTATGCTTGGGTCCCGAATGGTGTGCGTCCTATTATTGATTGATATGTGGGGTTTAACGTCCCAAAACCACTATATGATTATGAGAGACGCCGTAGTGGAGGGCTCCGGAAATTTAGACCACCTGGGGTTCTTTAACGTGCACCCAAATCTGAGCACACGGGTGCGTCCTATTGTTGTTACACTATTTTTTTTATAGGAATGTAGTGAGCGTGTAATACCCCAGGCGGAAAACAAGAGTAATCCAGAAGGCTGTTATTTTTGCGTGGCAACAAGACACTTCGAGGGGTGCCCCAAGTCGTCTCGACAGTTCTCGAATAACACCTCTTTACGCTGCCCTTTAACAGATATATGATTTCGGCGCAGCATGCCAGCGAAAACCAGAACAAGAGGTCACGGCTCCGTAGCCGTGGCAACGGGTGACCATGGCTGTTCGATTCAAAATCTTCAACGACCCTCAATTCAAGGGTAGCTTATATCTCGCCTTGACTGTCGCATTGACGAGCCCTACGTTCCTCCTCCCGCCCACTTATTCACAAACACGTGTACAGTACCGTCCACTGTTAAAGGGAACGCCATAATAGACACTGTTCCGATTTCAGCACCTCTAGTAGCAAGTGGATAAGGAAACAATGCTTATGGCGAGCACTAGTCTGTCAAAAGGAGCCAGAACAACCAGCCACAAGTTTCGAGTAAATTTAAGCCACTGTACTTTTGCAAGAGAGTGAAATACAAATGTGCTGCATATGCAAGTGTTCCCTTTAACAGTGTACCCGACTGTATAACGCCAGTACTGACCGTTGCGCCCATATCGTGACTTCGCACTTTTCGGCTGCACGCTGTTGCCTCTGATAGCACACCGCAATAACACAATGCGAAATGACTTGACCGCGAGCCGACCAGAAGTAACAGTCGTTAAAATGTATAACAAAGCACCGCATCAGATAAATCGAAGATAGTGTGTTCCTCTTAAGACAAATTGAAAGGTTCTGTACTCTAGTGAGCTCGCGTGAATTGTCACATTGGCGTCAGGACGTGCCTCAAAAAAAAAAAAAAAACAGGGAACACTGGAAGTAACGCATTCCGCAGCTAGATCAAGTGAAAAGTTTTTATGTAGCGCGAAGAGACTCTTTGACGCGAGAATCAAGCGACGGTACTAGAAGGTACACCCTTGAGCAGAAGTGTACGGACCATTGCCATCCGTAGACTTCTGACGCCTGCGCCGACATGTGGCGAGCTGTCCACGGTTATGAGCATTTTCATGTCCACGGTTATGAGCATTTTCATGTCCACAGTTATGAGCATTTTCATGTCCACGGTTATGAGCATTTTCATGTCCACGGTTATGAGCATTTTCATGTCCACGGTTATGAGCATTTTCATGTCCACGGTTATGAGCATTTTCATGTCCACGGTTATGAGCATTTTCATGAGCATTTTCGGTAGCATTAAGGAGCTCGTTTTGCAGAAATGCCGGTGTTGGCGTCGGTGGTTGTGAGCAAACAATCATTTTATGCGTGACCGGAAAATCGAGAACGATGCAAATAAAATAAACGAATGATAGAAAACTGTAGCAGAGTGGGGACCAAACCAGGGTTTTTAAGGTTTGAGTAGGAATCAAACCCGAGTCGTTTGCTTGGCAAGCGGGTGTCCGACCCCATGGTCACGCCTCTGCTCGTGATAACAATGAAAAGAACTTCCTCTGCTCGGAAATTCGGTGAAAATAGCTTTCATGCTTCCCAAACACACGCTTCCTGTATATACGCTTCACAATGCAACATGAAATATTGCAGTAATATTGCATGGTCAAGCGTCCATTGCCATCGGGCGTCAGGATATGTGATTATAACGGCTGAAGCGGTCACCCACTACAAAAGGCGCACGCACTACTGCGCCTAGTTTAAGGCCACGTAGTGGGTGCACAGCGAATTCGAACAGGTTTCATGCAGTAAGTGGTTGAAGTGCACAATGACGAACAGAATGTCGCTATTGCGTTCAACTCCTAAATGTGAAGATTTAGTGCCCCCTCATTTTTTTTCTGACAAATCCCGTCAGAGATACGCTCTAGACAGCAGACGGTTTTCCCTTGAATGGCGCATGCGCTAATTTCGCCACGTGCTCCCGTGGTCCGTACACTTTTGCTCGCGGGTGTACTTACATAAAGACAACACTCAGCACATGCAGCATATCTCTTCGGTGTGCCTTCTCGTGTAGGCGTGTTGTTTCGCGCTACACCAAAGCTGTTCGAAAGATTCCAACAAGTCCCCATTGCAATCCTCGTCAGATAAATGAACATTCTAAGACTACTACCATTTTCAATGCTCCTGATCGTGCAAGGCAAGACAAGCGACCGGGCAACACATTCACTGAAATACAGAGCTCGCGTCGTCTGGTGCCCCCTTCTGTATCATCCTTTCGCGTTCTTGAACCATGAACGTAATCCAGCTCGCCCAGTTTGCTGCCCTTATCGAATATTCAAGACAGCTTACCTTCTTGGTTGAGACCAGGCTCAGTCGCGTTGCCGGCGAGGTTACATTCGAAGGCACAGCCACTGTCTTAACATTCCGCGTGACTCGGTCTACGGGTCAAGGAACGTCCGCGGGCGAAACCTTTAACGGGACGAGCGACCAGTGCTATCCCCGTGCGCACTATAGGTATGCTGCCTCCCATCGACACCGCCGACGCTTCCACTGCTGCCACGTGGTGTCTCGCGAAACTTGACCCGGTGAGCGTATAGCAGGTGGAAACGCTTCGTTCGATGCGGATCTTATCATCTGCCGGTCGGCCAGCTCGCCCAGCTGATCACGTGAACGCGTACTGTCGCTCTAATTATACATGGTCAATATCAAAAAAAAAACGCGAGGACGCATTTTTTCACCGGGAAAGGCATCGCTAAGCGAAAACCGGTCCAGCATGCGAAATGCCCACACCAGCCAATCTTCTTATGAGTTTAGGCCTCGGCAGTTCATGATGTCATCTGGGTTTTGCACGGCGTAGTGACGAGCCCCGGAAATTTCATCCACCTGGTGTTCTTTAACGTGCAACTCAATCTAAGCATACGGGCCGCTAGCATTTAATAAGAATATATTGTGTTTTACGTCCCGAAACTATGATATGATTATGAGAGACGCCGTAGTTGAGGCCTTCGGAAAGTTCGACCATCTGGTGTTTTTTTTTTACGTGCACCGACAGCGCATCGTACACGGGTCTGTACCGTTTCGCCTCGGTTGAAAGTTCGATCGCCACGACCGGGATTCGATTCCGCGACCATTGATTGATTTGTGGAGTTCAACGTCCCAAAACCACCATATGATTATGAGAGACACCGTAGTAGAGGGCACCGGAAATTTTGACCACCTGTGGTTCTTTGACGTGCACCCAAATCTGAGTACACGGGCCTACAACATTTCCGCCTCCATCGGAAATGCAGCCGCCACAGCCGGGATTACGATCTCGCGACCTGCGGGTCAGCAGCCGAGTACCTTAGCCACTAGACCACCGTGGCGGGGCTCGATTCCGCGACCATCGAGTTGGCAACCGAGCAGCGCAACTACTGTAAACCGTCGTGGCATCTTTCACGATTTGAAAACCACACTACTAGCGTATACTTCCGCTTCGCTGCATGGCCCTTTATTAAGGCCTCAGGTGGCGTCACTGAAACCCGGTTTCCAACCAGGCGGCGACGCTGGCACTTCAACGGAGATGAAATGCTGGCGCCAGTGTTCTTAGATTGAGGTGCACGCTAAAGACACCCGTGTAGACAAAACTTCCGGAGCCCTCGTCTACGGCGTCTCTCATAATATCGTGGTCTTGGGATCCCGAATATGAACAGCTTTTATTACCGTTCTTTTTTACCTTGCGCCTGCTTCCTTAAAGGGGCAACGTTGTCGAGCTAGAACACACAGGGCACTGCACCGACCAAAGTAAAAAAAAATGTAGTACAGACACACACAAACGTGTAATAAATTAAAGCTAAGTAATAAAGGTTCGGGTGCATCAAATTGTTAGTTTGCATCGTGTTTGCAATACCGTCGCCCATGTATGATACCGACGAGCCGATGGTATTTCGTCACTCTTTATGCTTGATGGGCAACGTCCCACCACACTGAGAATTTCGTTTTGTTTTACGCTGTACCAAGAGCACTTAAAGGGATGATCGTGACTTCCCTTTTTTTCGCAGACTTGCTGGAAGGGAGCGTGCAGAAGGCGGCACCCGAGGTAGTGAATCTGAGTCATCGAAACGCCACGTGAAACCTGAGGACTGGTACAAGTAAAATCTGTAACTCGGAAGATGTCCTCGTCTACATCTCCTTCTGTATTCAAGCTAACTCTGCAAACGCTCTACTTCTGCAGCATCCTGACTGTTTCATTCTCGGTGGTCGTCAGCTGCTCAATAAAAAAGTGTACCAAAAAATAAGCACTCGAATTTTTACTGCTCACCTCTACGAGAAGCTGCGCTTGAAGCCTCCTTAAAGGAACCATGACACCCATTTTTTGATCAGAATCTGTATTACGTATGTTCATGTTTTTGCGTTCACAAATAAACAGATCGCATTTGGCTGATGAATTTGTTTAAATAGAGTATCGTTACAAACTCATAGTGACTTTCGAGTCAAGCAACACTGGCACACTCGCAAGCCATGACGTAACAAGCAGCTTGCCGTGTGACCATCTGCATTCCGGTGAGATATTGTTCTGTAGGGAGACGTGCGTGATATTGATATATTTTAACTTTTCTCACCTTGTCATTGATTATGAACGATTAGTTGCGGCTGAAACCTTTGTAAAAGACGATGGTGCCACTCCGTGAAGCACATGACGTCACGGACGCCTTGGCAAAATGGTGATCACCCGCTGGTGGACGGGGTTTGTAGCCGGCGGACATGCACGGCTCGTTCTACGTTGCAAATTTTTTTGCACAGCGTGCTTTTCATGTGTGTGGATTCATAATAGACCCCTTACTTTTCTTCGCTGAAGATCACAAATTTGGGTGACCCTGTGATGGCCCCTTTAAGGAACATCGCGTGGTTCACGTGCTGTTTACTATATGTTTTCTGAACGTTAACCGAGTTTTCCATGTTTGTCGATGTACGAAAGAAACGAGCAGCTGAGAAGGGAATAGCGTAACACAAGTGAAGTACGAAAATTGACAAACAAGTAATCTATAATGGTAAGCTTTATAGTGTCTTCTAGGGTTGCTGTTGGAAGGACCTGAAGCGGAGCCAGAAATGAAAGGTAGCCAAAGAAACCATGTCACTTGTATGTATGTATGTATGTATGTATGTATGTATGTATGTATGTATGTATGTATGTATGTATGTATGTATGTATGTATGTATGTATGTATGTATGTATGTATGTATGTATGTATGTATGTATGTATGTATGTATGTATGTATGTATGTATGTATGTATGTATGTATGTATGTATGTATGTATGTATGTATGTATGTATGCATGTATGTATGTATGTATGTATGTATGTATGTATGTATGTATGTATGTATGTATGTACTTGTGTGCGTCTATGTATGCACGGCCGGGAGCGCTGGTAGAGGCGTCACTTCAGTATTGCTGGCACTTCGGAGCACTTGTTCGCCATAATACTTTCGCTGGTTTGTACAAGAACGACAGTATAGGTGATGACAGAGCCTGCAATCTGCAAAACAGAAGGAACAGTCAGTGTGAACGTGCCTGCACTCCAATTTTTACTTATTCAGGCGTTGCATTCCGGGCAACCGTCACCACTGTCGTGGACTTGTAAAATATACCACACTTGATTTATCTACCAGAAGGTCAAGCATCATGCATTTCGTGATCCCTACATCTGGAAAGTTAGTTGTTAACGTTTGGTTTTATTTTATGAGCTTTTATTGATTCCTTCTGAAGGGCACTACTCGGTACCGAAGTAAGATTCAAGTGATAAACCTTTACACTTGCCGGACATAAGTGTGACTTTACTGTAAAATTATCATTCTGCAAAATCCAGCCCGGCTTTAATTTTTTTTATTTTCACGAATTAGCATATCACGGCACTTCGTGAGACATTTCACAATACGCGTTATCGCGGTATTAAAGAGCTCCTCGACGACACCGAATTCAAAGGCGATACAGTATAGATTCTTTTCGCCTTCACTACGCCATCTCTTCCTTAGCACTTATTTCTTCGTAAAACACGTGGAATATCAACACTAAACGTTGTGCCAGTCAGGATTTCACGCTGTTCCACTACACGCTGCTATGTCCGCTTGTTCTGTCGCCACCGCAGAAAATGAAGTCAAGTCGGTTTATCGCGGGTGATAGTCATGCGAGGCAAGATAGAGCGGACATGCGACTGCACGGCCAAGCAGGGTGGGTGACGATTCACAACAGATATCTCTAATATTTGTGACCAATCGAGAGCTTATTGCGTCTTGACGTCACGTGGACTAACTTCTGGCGTTAACGAATCGGGACGCAAAAACGGAAGACGCTGGCAGAGAATAATGCGTTCTTTATTCGTACTCTCCGAGGTTGTTTAGGGGCCACTTTCAAGACATTCTCAACACAAGTCACATACACAATAATCTAGTTTGACACGTAATCAGCACCCAGCTCAGGATATGCACAGCTAACCCCCGTATTTCGAAACGCTCATCGACTCGACTTTCACCCTTCATTTGACAGAGTTGAGCACTGTGCCGCTGCTCGGCTGAAAATGACGCTGCGTTACTCAAGAATAGCTGCAAATTATCACTGATATATAGTGACTCAACCTGCCTAGAGATGGCGCTGCGATCGGCTTTCTCAAGTGATGGTGAATCTTTGAGTGAAGTGTAGTTCTAGAATACGGGGGTGAGTCTTCCTATTGATTTGTGAATACAAAATATTAATATCAACGCGCAGTCGCCCTGCACCGTCTCGCTGGCTTTTATGGAAAGTTAGGACGGAGTGAATACTGAAATCTGGCAACTTACAGTCACGATCAGGGGCAGATTGATGACGAACATGCCACAACCAGTCAACGAGCCCTGAAGGTCTTCCACAGTTAATATGAGTATGTGCAGCTGCAAGGAGAATAGAGTGCAGTAAGAAGTATGCTTGCAAGTTAAATAACATCTCGGTGGCTTTATGAGACTATGGTGAGAGCCAACTGCTACATTTTGCGTACGTACCCTATGTGTTGTAGCGTCTGAAAGGGTTTCGAACTCCGTAGCTTGAATGATGCTTTGAATGCGGGAAGCCTGTAAAAAATATAAACGGGTCATTTGAGTGGGATCTAGGCAACGTCGTAATCATATATAAGCGTATCTACCGGGGGAGCAACGGAAACACCTTCATGTGATCTTGCTGCATCTGGCGTGCATGCGGGTAATAAATCGATGTACAAATGTAGAACATGAGGGGACCAGTATTATGACACTCCACTTTAAAATCTATTCTGCATTTATTTATATAACAACGATCAGTGGATTCAACATGCATGCGGTGGAAAGAGCAACCAATGTTCGAATACACTGCTTGTACCGCGCACTGTCGTGCGTCTGTGACGAAGAAGGTATTAGAGCAAAACGAAATTCGGACTTGTACAGATACAAAATCTCGTCCAGACAGTGCTTTTCCTCGTGCACTCGAAACCCAAAGGAACAGTCCTGGCAGAGTCGCGTCGGTAATGTAAACACAGCACATGGCATTAAGGTCTGTACTAACTGTGTTAAATTTTTTTGACGCGGGATCAAATATATACCGCTAGTAGACAGACCAGAAAAGCCTTAAGGCAGAAGGTCATGGATCGCTATCCTTCTCTAAAGGTAGGAAGCTGCGATGAGACTTATTGACATATATAGAAGTGAAGAGGATGAAGAGGATTGATCACGCATGTAGTTACAAGCGTTGTATAAAAAAATCCACTATAAGGTACAGCATGGCCAATCCCCCTTGTAGGTATGAGCCATGATCTTCTAGGCGACAAGACAAGATATGCACTAACCATTTCCATATGTCTCATTAAATGAGTTCTTATAACCTGAACCTTTAAAAGCAACAGATATGTTTCCATACGCGCAGAACCAGTCTCGTCGTGCGCAGTAATATACACTGAATTTATTTCACGCAGCACACGCTTCTGTCATAAGCTGTTCGTCATGCTTAAGAGGTTGATTGCCTAATGCTTGTATGGCATGCATTTCTTTAATAACACGGTACTTACTAATGTGAACTACGACTTCAATAAAGTGAAAAACTGTGCAAAGATGGTCTGGCTACTGCAGGCGATGACTGTCCCCAACATGCCATTCGCACGTGTCTTCTCAAGCTGTATCATTCTGTGGTACTTTCAGTTTGGAGAAGGGTGATACGGTGTGCGTGTGTGGGGTATATCAAAAACGAACCGAGCAATGTCCTACGTCTCGGTCAACTTTGTTCTTGAGTTCCACAACTGTTCTGTTCCTCACAGCCGCTTGAGCACCATGGCAGTCGTAGTTACACTTCCAGCATCTGTCATGGCCTTTAGCAACCGACGCTTTACGTCGAGTCTCATACGACTGCAGCAACCAGGGCCTACCGTTAACGAGCACTCATTACAACGTCACAAAGTCCTTCGTCGAGACGGTTTTCTTGGGATACTAATGTGAGTCTGGATTTCGTTGCTGTTGGGACCTCACATTGTTCACTTCTTCCTTTACGTTGCAGTAGCTCCACTGCCGACTTACATAGCACAAAACTTCAAGATTTTAAAACTTTGAGGATTGTTTATTCACTGCATTTTCATTTGATTCATTAATTGAAGCCCAGGTTTTACGTACGAAGCGATTACCCTTGATCCACATGAAAATTTGACTCAGCTATACAGAATGGTAGTGGGAGGTATGGTAAAAAAACCGCGAAAAAAATGCCCCAACCCCTCAAACAGAAACTTAACAAGTCAAACTTAACAATGCCCTGCAATGGAGGACTACAGGGCGTAACATCGGGCATTTTCGTATACATCCTCCACATGTATACAGCCCCCGAGGCCGGGTTTTAGCCCGCAAATGGGGTCGAGCAGCGCAATGCCCAAGCCACTCGCCCACCTCGGTGGTTAGTGATATAGGGTTATTTGGCTCTTATATTCTTGCTGGTCCTGAAAGGTAACGACGACGAAGAAGAGGAAGAAGTTGGAAATGATGAATTTGATTATTGTGAATTTGGTGAAAAATGAACACAGGTGAAAAATTAATGGTGGCGAAACTGAAGGAGAAGTATGAAACAAATGTGTTGAAAGAGAAGGAGGCAGAAGA